TCTCCTCGGGTGGCGAAACACACTGGACCCTCGGAAAAGCGAAAGCACCGGAGAGCAGCAGAAGACAACTGTCGTCGGTCCCCTCCCTCACCCGGAACCGCCGAAATCGTGGACGGTCCCCTCGACACCTTCCTCCGCTGCAGTTATTTTCGACTCCCGAGATGCTCTGTTTCTCTCCCTCTTCGTATTCCTGGCGGATTTCCTGGCAATCGGGAAAACTCTCACCCGCGTGTCGTTTCCAAAAATTTCGTCTAACATAAGTGATCTACGTAATCTTGATTGGCAGAAACACCGCTGCCGATCGGCGACGATTTATTTTTAGTAAAAATATATCACGAGAAAAAAATTTAAAGAACTTTTCTCTCTCTTTCTGTTCTTTCATGAACAATTGAGATAGTAACAACTTTCGCTAGTAAGTAATAAAATTGCGCCAACTTTTTATATATTTTATGCGCAGATAAAACTAAAAATTTGACAAGTTTCACAAGTTTAGAATCACAGCAGTCTTCTTAAAGATATTAATAATTTGATTCCATATAGATGTGTGTTATGTTAATAAAATATTAATTATTACAACGTTATTAATAATTTTTACAATATTATAAATAATAATTTATTACTAATATTATATGAAAATTATCAATTTAAGATATTTAATGCCCGCAACGCTCTAATTGTAAGAATGATTTCATCCTTTTTATTCATCAAATATTATATAAATAAGAACAAATGATGTTTACGAGCATTACGAGCTTTTAAGTGGCATCTTCAATTATACAATTAAAAATTTTAATTATCTAATTCATTGTCTCTAAATTTTTTTCTGTATACATTAAATTTAAAAAATAATTTTCTAATCCATTGCGAAAAAGTCTAACAATTTTGTCCACATATTAATTATGGAAGATCTATATTTAATAATTATGATAGCGTTTCTTATCTTGTGGTTTAATGAAGAGCAGGAGAAAAGGAACGGACTGTGTATTTATGTAATATCCACATTCGATAACTCCGAAAAGTTACATTCGTCGAATATCTGGCGCATAACATTGTCGAGTATTACGCCGCGGACAATTACCAGCGTTCGCAGCCGGTAAATTCTACGCTTTGTGTAACTCGTATCCCTCTGCTAACGTAAACGAAAATAAATCTGTCTGAAGTGGCATCGTGCTTCACTTTGTTTCCATGATTTGTTCCAGTCTGTTCTGAAGCGAAATGCGATACGATTCCCATGATGTTTAGCTCTCGACGTTTTTTGACATTACCATTGAAAGACGCTGAAATTAAAGTTGTATTACAACGGTGCTATCAGAAGATTATCTACGTTTATCAATAGATAAATATTATGTTACATGATATTTATCTATTGTATAATCTGAACGCGAAGTTCATTGATGATAAATGAGAATTTCTTGAAATAAACTTGGTAGATATAAAAATATCCCAAAGGGGATTAATGGATTAATAAACTTATTATAATAAAAGATAAAATTGTTAATTAAAATGTGTCTCTTAAAAAATAAAAAATTATGAATTTAATAATATTTTGTGAATTTAGTATTTCTTTGAAAAGATATATTAATCTTACAAAATTGCTCAATTGAATATTTATTAAATTGAAGAAAGAGAGGCAGAGAGAAAAAAAGAGTGAATTCTTAAGAAAATATGTATAAAAGATGAATAAAGTTTTGCTTTGTACTTCTCATTGCTTATTGAAATATCCATTTATATGTCCAAAGATATTTTAAGTTTCATCTCCGGAAACAGGTGTTCACAACGAGTGCTTTCGCTTGAAAACATTGGGGAAGCAACTTCAATCAAGCTTCAAATCGATTACAAGCAGAATTACATAAAGTAAAATTTTTAACTATATATATAATTCGTAGTCTCTAATTTTTCTATAAACAATATTAAACAATAAAAAATTAATAATTCATTATTAATAAAATGATATAAAATTGATCAATTAAGTTAATCGGAATTTAATTTATGGCCTACAAAATAATTTTAACGCTAAAATTTTTTAATATAAAATAATTCTAATATTACTATTCTCAGAGTGACTTTGATTAAATTAACTTCTGATTAACTCAATCAGCGAATTGCTTAAAGCAAATTTTTTTATTTAATTTTATTTTCCTAATCTAATATTTTTTTATGCAAAACAACAGAAAAATTAATAATTCTGTCCAAATATAGGTACAGTTTGAAAAGTTGATTATCAATTAAATTAATTGGAATTCAAAGAAAAGTAATTTTGAGTTATTATAAAGAGTCATGCATGTAATATTTGCTCAATTTGTCTTCCCCAATGATTTACTTCTTATTGAGCTGATTGTATAATTGATCATGATTCGACATTATTTATTATCCTACGATATTATATGAGAGTTACTAATGAAATCATAGTGTTCAGTTGCTAGCAACTTCTACGGTCAGCTATTCGTACCACTTCGATTTCTACATTACCGTCTCGGGAAAAAGATCCGTGTCTGCAAGCAATCGTGCTGCTGTTCCGAATCTAACCTTCTCGTATGCAGCGTAGTTCATGATAATGGCGTTTCAAACTTAAAAAAAAAAACAGGTTAATTAAAATCTTGCAAAATCATAAATCTCTCGGAAAAGTATTTTTTTTATGTTGTTCCTATATTGAAAATGATTTTTGAAATCATTGATGATTTCATAAAAATATGTATCAAAAGTAGAATCCGCTAATTTTGATTATCGGTGTGTCGTATTTCTGTTGGTGATAATAATCTACGTTTAGCAGTTTCGACAGATAGGGTGTGTCCTTTAACGATACAACACGAGAATCGAGTAATTTGATATCGGCGATAACTAATTTTCACAATTACTTTTTGATCGCGATTTTGATCAAATTTTAATTAATTTATAATCGATGATTATTTGATTAAGTAATATCTGTACTATTTTAATTTATATTAAGCACTATCTGTTCTATCTTATTTTATATTAAATAACATCTGTATTAATATGAATAGAATTATTATCTATTTTATTACTTAATGTTTGGAAAAAGGGTCATAGATTTCGGACATACTATTAATTATAGTCCGAATATTTAAAGATGATTCTGATTAACGAATTTTGTTTGACTTATCGGGGGAGGGGGGGGGAGGGATTGATTTATTCAGTGGTACCTGTATTATTTTATTACCATTAACAGAATTATATTAATTCTTTTGTTTAAGATGTGAAAAAATAGACAAATAGTTTCAATACTGCTAATTCTGCTAATAGGATTAATCGTCGAATTAAAATTCGATTCAAATATTGTTTTATATTTATTTCCACTAATATATAGAGTAAGTTTAATTACAGTTTAATTTATTCTTTATCTTTTTCTAATGTTTAGGAAAAGATAAAAAGTAAGTTAAATGAATTATAGCTAATTGACATTAAATAAGTTAATCTAAATTGGTAGAAATAAACATTAGACTGTTAAACTTGTTGATGTTCGAATCATTGTTCCTTTTGATCTTTCTGATATATGTACCCCTCGTTGACAATGGAAATAATGAAAATGTTAACATGTATCAGAAAGATTAAAAGTACGTATCGACAGACAAACCGAGCTCTGCATTTAAATCCACTTTGCGTGAGTCGTAGCTCCCTCATTATCGATTTGGAAACGGCTTCATCTGAATTAACTTAATCGGCAATTAATTCACCCAGCAAACTCGAATCATCGGTTCTTTTGATCTTTCCGATACATACGTATCCCTCGTTAACAATGGAAACAACGGAAATGTGTTTATTGTACGTGTATCAGAAAAATCAAAAGGAACGATAATTCGAGTTTGCTGGGTGAATTAATTGTCGATTAAGCTAATTCAGGTGAAGCCGTTTCCAAATCGATAATGAGGAGATAATGAACCCACGTGAAGCGAATTTAGATGCAGAACTCGGTCTATCCGTCGATACGTATCGCTCCGGGTGATCGAAGAGGTGAGCGCGGCGGGCGGTGCACATCGCATGCCTCCTTCATTTTCCACAGCGGTTCTTCCTGTCGAAGAGGCGCGTGTAACGAGAGACCCGATACACTGTTAAACAAATGTATAAAATTTCTTAAATAATGTATATAAAAATTACCTACATAATTTATAGTGGAAATATATAAAATTTGTGCGTTCTTACAAAAACTAGGACTTTTACATCTAATCGTGCAAATATACCTTCATATTAAACGGAAAATTTACAAAATGTATGCATTATTTTTGTAACATTATGTAACATAATGGTAATGTGGTATCACACACATATCATATTTACATTTTTATGTTTGTACACTTCGACAACGTGGCTTAAGAAAAATTGTATGTAATTAATTGACGAATTAATACTTACAATATATTTCTATAAACTCAATTTCATTAGAATAAATTTTTTTTTCGCAAATTCTTTGATTACTACAAAGAAGAATAATTTTATTCGTAAGAGTTGATAGTGGTTTTACCTCAAGTGTAATATCTAAATATATCGCCTTTGCGATAGTGAACTTCGAAATTACCCGTCCACTATAATTGTTGTAACTTTTACAACGTATGTACGACTATCCGTTACGACAGTCCATTTTTCCCTTCCCCCCGCAGGGGGGAGGGAGGCGAGCTGGGCAGGGCTCGCATTTCCCGCCGTTGGGAAGAATGGAAGATCAATAATCGTAATCGCCCTTACCGACTCTCGCGCACGGCAATGGCAGCCACTCATTCGATCTCCTTCCCGACGCTTCTCCTCCCGACGCTTCTCCCACGGCGCGGTGGTGTTTCTGCCTTCGTTCGATCGGCTTTAGAGATCTCTCTCTCTCTTCATTCGTTGCCTCTCGCTTGCGCTCGCGGCCGTCCGGATCGCGCGTCTCTCTCGCTCTCACGTGACGCGCGCGCGCGCGCGCGGACGGATGTATGTACGTATACATACGTAGCGTTTCTTCCGCTATTGAGGACGCAGCGCTGCAGTCCGCCGTACGCGCCCGCCATTGAGGACGACCGCCATTATAGATTCCGTTGTGTGTGACCGAGTCTGTTTGGCCGATTCCGACTTCTCACTCGGGAAAACTCCGTCGCGTTTTCGACGTAACACGCTCCGGTCGTGCACTTGCCGCAAATTCGAAAAAGGAGAGCGCGGGACACGGATAGATAGAGCTTGGCTGGAGCGTGGGAAGGTGGGAAAAGGGATACTCCGTAGTAGAACAGATAGATCGACGAGAGCGGCACCGCGGACACCCACGGCTGGAAAGGGCGCACGATGAAAACGTACAGCAGGAAAAAGGGCGACAGCCCGAGCAATGTGATCATCCATGTCAACGAGTTATGCCGGCTCTGCCTGGCGAAGGAAGAGGAGATGGTGCCGATCTACGACGACGAGACCGTGCCGATGCCGTTGCGGATACTCTCCTGCGTCAATATCGAGGTGGGTCGAGGTGAGGAGAGGAAAGAAAAAGCTACGCGTGAATTCCACGACGCAAATCACCGATCGCGAAAAACATGTCGTCGTTGCCGTCGTCGTCGTCGTCACCGTTGTCGGCACGATCGATTCGCATCGGGCGATAATAATCAGCGGCCGGAGGAGCCGTTCATTGAAAAATAGGAATCTAGTTTATCTCTCTGCGCACGGCGTCCTCTCGCATATTATCTCCCCTCCTCGCCGCGTGTGGTGGCGTATACATGACGCGCACACATTCACGCGCGGCGCACGGTAACAGCGGTAAGGCAACAGCTACGTCACATGCATGTGTACGCGTGCGCGCGCGAATGACGTTGTACACGGGCGATCGATGTTGCGCGCGGCCGCGGATTCGCAAGTACCGGCTTTACCGAGTTATCGACGAACTTATGCGACACGATAGATAGCGGTGCGCCTTTTACGCGCGCCACTGCCTCATTACAGAGACCTAGAACCGGCACGGCGGAGGCACTCCTGTTTACTCTACGGATTTATAGAGATCTGTAATGTTAGTACGCGGACGTGTAGCGTCCCGATGTAATTCGCAGCCGAGCTTCTTCGAGGAATCGGAGCTTTTTGAGACGCGCCGTCGTCTTCGAACGGCGACTTCTCTCGATGGCGCGTGAACTCCGAAAGATGCTCGAACTTTCAGCGTTCCAATCCGAAACGTTCGACTATGTTAGAGAAAGGCAAAATAAATTTTGTTAGATTTTGATTGTTACTAAATTCTTTGAAGTGGAATCTCATTTAAATATTGTATTGATAAAATATGTACTATATTTTTTAAGTATCAGTTTAGCTCCATTTATCTTTTATTAAATTTTAATATAGTTAAAGTTGATAAATTGAAGACCTTATATTATATCAATGTTTTAGGTTTTTGAGCAGGATGGCCTGCCTAACATGATATGTCATCCCTGCAAATATCAGTTGGAGAAATCCTATCAATTCAGAAAAAAATGTCAGGCTGCAGACTCCAAGCTCAGAAAGCATATGAAATTGATACAACAGTTGACTGGGCAGGACGAAGAAGGCGAGAATCAGGATAGCAGTAGGGATGAGTCTCAAGAATCCACGGGAAAGTCCAAGCAAGTTAAGCAGCTGCTAGCTGATCTGGTTTCAACGAAAGGCAACAGTGGTCAGACAGATGGAGATCCTATCGAGGTGACAGAGGAGGAACTCGTTGGTGGCTATATTCTGGGTGTGTTACTAACAAGGAGTTTATTTCATTGCGTTATAGTCATAAATGGGCCAGTTTCCATTGGCTTTTTAGAATTTAAAATTTTATTAAAAAAGATTGCTTAATCTTCATTTTAGAAACTTGTATTTAGAATTTATTACTCTGGTAGGAAGTAACATTGAGAAATGTTTATAAATATTTAGTTCATATGTATGTACGTTATTAATTGATATGCAGGAATGACTTCTGAAAATCCGGAGATGGAGGAAAATATCTCGGAGGATCCAGAGAATATCACACTGGTACCTGCTGAGGAACGAATGGCAAAGGCACGCTGTACGATAAGGACATCGCGTATCAAACAAGAGCAGGAGTCCGATGACGAGACGGAAGAGATGCAGCGAGGAATAGGAAATGAACACAAGAATGTTTACATGATGGAGGTCACCAGCAACAATCCTAATGAACCTGATTCGTTGAAGTTACAGCCCTTGGGTGACACAATCGGTAAAGAATTCTACAAAATACGTTATCTGTAATAAAGGAGAAATGACGAGAATGCGACAGTTACATAAAAAGCAAATGTATATTACAGTTGATGCTAATCCAGAATTGAAGGTGTTTAAATGCGACAAGTGCCCGAAAGCGTTCACCCGGAGAATAATGTTGAAGAGTCATCAGTCAGTACATTCTACACAGAGGGGATTTACGTGTCAGGCATGTGAAAAATGGTTTCCGACAAGATCTGCGTTAGTGAGACACGAGCGTACACATACAGGTTGGTATTTGTTGTTTTGTGCATATTAATTATGAATACATACATATAAACTAAATATTTGTAGACAATTTTCTCAATATTATTTCTTCCTAGAGATGTTGACTAGCTTATTTGGCTAGCTCGCTGAAATTGTTTCGGACAATTTGCCTATTAAGAAAAAGATTTGCCATTTCACATTTATGATATTAAAAATTTTAATCACAATCGTAAAAAATCTAACTTTTTTTTGAACAGATTGTTTCTTTTCAATACAAATCACGTAGTATTTGTTTATAAACAATTCGTTGAAAAATGCATAATATGCTATTAAATTTGTTATAGGAATAATACAATTAATGTTATCTTTATTTATATTGCAGGTGAGAAACCATTTGGTTGCAACATCTGTCACCGTGCTTTCGCTCAGAAGGAGATTTTGTTCCGGCATTTAATGACACATTCTGGCCAAAAACCGTTCCAGTGTCAGCATTGCGATAAGAGCTTCACACAGCGAGAAGCACTTAAAGTGCACATGCGTCGGCATCAGAAATTGAATCCGAATGATATTCAATTGCATCATTGTCAACTTTGTCCAAAAGCATTTTGTCACGCGTCGGGTCTCAGCAGGCACTTGGTTACGCACACTGGTAGAACGTACAAGTGCGTCGAATGCGAGAAGACATTTACAGATAAGAGTTCACTGCTAAGACACAGTCGTATCCATGCGCCCAAGAAACTCATAGCAAATTGAGCATATTTGCTCAGTTTGTTGTGATTTTCCTGGGATCTAGTGGGTATGAAAAATTCTTTTAAATTTTTGATCTGTGTCGGAATTAGACCTGCAGTGAATTGTCTATATTAGCGAGAAAAATTTTCAATCTAGATTTTTGAAGAGTTTTTTGTGTTTATTTCATTGAGATGGGCTTAATTGTATAATCTCATATGTAATTCGTACATTTAATGATAAGGAACATTTAACGTATATTTATTTTACTCACTTTTGTATAAATATTAGCAAATCTTATTATTTAAGAAACTTATCCAAACAATCCATTATGTACACGAAATGGAATTTGAAATGTAAAAATTCAAAAATTCAAAAAATATAAAAAATTTTTAATAAAAATTTTGAAAACACAAGTAAAATTATACAAAGAAGTATTGAAGCATCTCGATTACTTTATTGCTATTTATACAAGAATGATTAAAATAAACTCAATATTAGTTTTAAGTTCCGAACATTTTTTTTATTCAATTGATATTTTTGTATGCATAAAGGAATTATAATTCCGTATCATTTTTTAATACTAAGTGCAATTTGAATAAAGCATATGCGACATAATAAAAACGTCAGCTGAATGTAGAATAATAACAGCATTGATTGCATTAATATAATTTAGCTTTCCCCTTTAGGCAGCAATTATATTCTTATATTATAATTTTTATATTCAATATATCGTAAATGATTATGTATCATGTACTCTTTCCGACATAAGTTTATTATTATCTATAATTGATGTATATAGTTCTAAATACAAAGCTATCTTAATGGAATTATTTATGTGCACATAAATGCTATTCTATTGTGATTATTATCCTTATTACCTGACTTCCTAAAACCTATTGTATGTTACATATAATTATTTATAGAGGGAAATATTTCAAAACAAGAGAATTACTTGACATATAAAAGGAGAAAAATATTACAAAATCTTATGTACAATTGGAATAAGTGACTGCACTGACGAGTCTATTGTGTACGTTTTATTTAAATCTACTTCACTGGATACGCTATGATACTCTACTGTAAAAGAATATCGCTATAATGTAACAAAATATGCAGCAACAGGTGAAACACTGGCTATTATTCGGATTATTTTACATGTTATACATTTTATTATACTGTAGTGACCGTGCAAATGCATATAAAAATGACTCGCTATATTCGCGAACTATATAGCCAGTCGCAGCGTCTTGTGCGACAGAGCTCATGCCATTTGTCGGGAAAAACATTCACAGAAATGCAATATTAGTCCGTTAAGTGCAAATTATGTGTTGCGTAAATTCTAGGAAGATCGAGGATAATGTTTATCTATGTAATGGTGCGGTAATACACAAAACGACAGATAATGCTTTTTATTAAAAAATCCGTTTTATTATGTTTTTTTTTTCATGATTTGTGCACTATTACATATTGCCGATATCGTTTTCACGCAAATCGCACACATCAATTCTGCCAGAAGGTGATTAAATATTTTTACAAGGGTTTTTTAATTTTTGTCTGCTATTAAAATCCGACAATGTCGGACAATATATATAAAGAATAATGAAAAATTCTACAACAGTTTCGAGCTCCGTCACACGGTCTGTGCTGGATCTCTATCGAGATTAGATTTTCAATTTCGCATCTTTTTATAATATCTGCTACAATTTGTTCTATTTAGTTAAAACAATAGCAAAGGGGGAAATGACCGTACATTTCATGGAGCTATTAAATACATTGTATAATTACGAATATTCGCGTGTACCTATACTATAAAATGATGTGAAATCTAATTTTATTACGAAGCTGTAGACTCTCTAATCTGATGATTTTTAAATACTCTAAGATATTTAATGATGATTCTACTCTAATTGATAATGTATTAGATCTGATATTACGTTGTAACTATCTTTCGTAAAACTCATGAACGTGACACGTTCATGATGTGCAACGTCATTTCCTTCTTTGCTACGCATACATCAAGGATACATTGTCAATTTACACTTCTTTTTCCTCCTCAACAATTAATAATTCTAATGAAGATACGTACACGAAAGATCGATCGGTAATTCGATAGTGTCATTAATGAAATAAAATACTTTACGTAAATCAGCGGTATGTGATTTATGCATTCTGATTAAAAAATTAGCTCGTTTATGTCTATTTCTACCAATGTAAATTAACTTTAACTTACACTGATAAAAATGAACATTAACTAATCAAATCGGAGTATCGAACTTTCATGTACGTTCGAGGGACTAATACAGCTAAAAATCTACAAGATCTGCAGTTACATTCCCGAATCTGAAAACATGTATCGATATGCGCTTGTTTATACATTTTTTTTTAAGATGAAAATTTTTATCTACTACAAGTTTCTTTTCTTCTTACTTATTTGCAAGTAAATAGCATCAGCATGTAATTGCTGTTACCAGACAAGAAAACATAGACAGGTATCTATCTCTTCCGATTTTAATCACTTTTAATACATTATGTTTAGACTAAGAAACATATATTTTTATATATACATTTTTATGAACATTTTGATGAAAATCAGCTCTAAAAGATCAAAAAAATTGTTTGATAAAAGTTGTGTGTGAATGATCTGCAATATTTTATAATGATAAACAAATTTTTAATTAGTTTTGACGATATTCGCTTTGAAAGAAATTGATCTCTTAAAAAAAACGTTCCATTACATAAAAATGAGTGTAATCATACATAAAAAAAATACGTCTTTTATTTTAGTCTGGACTACGCAAATTAAAACTCATCAAAATCGGAGGGGAACACTTCCCTGTTTTCTTGTAAATCATTCACATCAGTTGAAGAAAGAAGTTTTTAAACATCTAAACATGAAAATGCGCTTCATAATATAGGCTCAGTTCGCTCTTTTCGTAACGTTTTTTTCATAATGCGATGTAATGTATTGGATTGGATGTAATATACTGGATTATAAACGATATTTGTACTATGCCTGTCGTCACATATATAATGCGGTATTCCATGGCAAAAAGAACTAGAAATAGAATTGCCCTGTTCTCTCTATTGCTAAGTATTGGCGTAATCGATGGCCTCGATAATGGCTGCGGCACGGAGATCGAAGTATATCGCGGACGAAATTCTGTTCTTTTACTTGAAATACGATTTTTTTCTCCGAGAAAAAGATAGAGAGGGAGATAGAATTAGAGAACGAGAAACAGATTCTATCAAATACCTAAAACCGAAAAACGCCAAAACCAATTTAAAATCCATCCTCTCATCAATCAAAGACCAGCTTTTTTGGTTGTTCCCATGTAAAACCGTCTCGTCCAAAGTGACCATATGTACTGGTTTGTTGATAAATAGGATTGCGAAGGTTCAGCTCTCTATAAAGAAGATAATATACTTTAATTGATTTATCCTCTTGATCTATTAATAAATTATATAATTATTGTAATATATCATGTAAACAAAATAATATTTATTATAACAATTTGTGTAATAAAAGTTAATTAAAATTACGAGAAAAATTAATTACATTACAATACATACTTAACGATTTTTCCAGGTCGCAAATCGAAATTCTTATGCACTATGTCTAAGAGCTCGTTTTGTGAACGCGTGGATGTGCCATAATCGAAAACTGTGATAGACAATGGTTCCGCTACTCCAATAGCATAAGAAACCTAACACAAATAATTGCAAATTTTATATATAATACAAAGTTATGAAATTTCACATTATAAAAGTTATAGACATTGTTTAATTTATTTTAACAAAATCTTGATACTTATAAATTTTACCTGTACAAGGCAACGTCTGCAAAGACCAGCTTTCACCAAGGATTTGGCAACCCATCTTGCAGCATATGCAGCTGATCTATCCACTTTCGTAAAATCTTTACCAGAAAATGCTCCACCACCATGCGCTCCCCAACCACCATACGTATCTACGATGATCTTTCGACCAGTAAGACCAGCGTCACTCTGAAATTTGTAATAAGAGTATATCAGAAAAAGAGAGAACACAACTTACAAAACATAATGCATATTTTTATTCAAGATTGATTAATATTTGCATTGTCATGTAATAGTTTAAGTTTACAACATAATTATATACGTTTTATATATAATTGTATATTAATTTTTTAAATTATTAAAATATTGCAAAATATGTATTTGAGGGATTATTCTCAGTTTAATTTTTAATATCATAGCATTCAAAAGTAGCAAATATATAAAATGCATCATCGAATAATCACTGTCTATAAACTTCATTTTTTAATACTTTAATGATACCTGTGGTCCACCAATAATGAAAAGCCCGCAAGGATTCACATGGAAGACTGTTCTTTCATCCAAATATCTCGCTGGAATCACTTCTTTGATGACTTTCTCCATGACCGCCTTACGTAGCTCATCTAGACTAATTTTTTCACTATGTTGCAATGACACGACAACAGTATGGACTCTTATAGGTACGCATGTTCCGTGGTCCATGATGTATTCACAGGTTACCTATCGCATACATAATTACATATATTTTATGTATAATTTTACACTAATTTTTTAAATTATTAATGTATTGTAAACATATATTTGATGGATTATTCTCAGTTTAAATTTTAACATCATGGCACTTATGAGTAGCAAATACTTTATAAAATTCATCTTCGAATAATCGTCATTGTCTATAAATCTCATTTTTTAATTGTCTCTAAGCATGAGAAGTATCACTAATGATTTAGATTGGAAATCTCCTAAAAATTTCTTAAATTCCGGTAAATACTTTTCTGTTTGTTTATCATATCAGATTTAAACTGTACGCTTTATAAATTAAGACAAATGTAAAATACATACAGATATATAAAAATCAAACCTGTGTTTTTGAATCTGGACGAGCCCACCACAGTTCGCCACTTCGTCTTAGCTCGGCGATTTTCTGATTTAATTTATGCGCCAACACGACCGTCAGTGGCATACATTCATCAGTTTCATCAGTTGCGTATCCAAACATTAGACCCTGGTGGAAGAATTTGAGTTATTCCAATTAAAATTTATGAGATATAAGTTTCACAAGCAAAATATTATACATATAATTTTAAATATATAGATTAGTTATTTAAAATTATGTGCTGTCAAAATATAAAAGTAAACATATTTTTGTGCGTAAAATACAAGAAAGTTTAAATAAAAATAGAAAAGCTTTTGTGAAGAGT